TTGCTAAATTCAGAGTTGTGAGATAAAACAACATTTTCTTGTTGCCATCTTTTAAAATCCACTCCTATGAATTTTTCTGGTTTCTCCCCGTGAGCATTGTTTGGGGGTGCGACGGATGTGTTGTTACTTGCCGTAGTCTAACAAAATTTCAGAATATAAATTATCACGTAAATAAAAAAAAATCGTCTTAAGATTGTTGAAAATCTTTGAGAATGTCGTGCATAATTTACAAAAGCAAATAGCGAATAAATATTTGGGCAGAATTTTGACTTACAAATTTAGCGTAATAAATCAGAATGAATAATGGTTGAGGCAAGAGTTCGACTCTTTCTCCTTAAGATGAAAATGCCCCGCACTAGTGCTGACGGTCTCTTGTCACTCGTCTCGCAAGATACAACGACCTCGATTTGTAATAGTAGCACTCCAAATTACAAGACCCGATAAACCTACTAATATTTGATCTCTCGAGAATCGGAGGACTAAAATGCACGAAATTAATATTTGGGACTGAAATGCAAATATATGAAAACAGCAGGACAGAAAAACAATATTGCAGGAGAAGGAAAGTAGAATAAATTTTTTTGGAGTGAATAAAAATCGGAGACCTGGGGTCTATTTATAGAAGTTGAAAGGTTGTGTCTCGCAATAGACATAAGCCATTTGGACAAGCAGTTAAAACTGTCACCAACCGCTAGTTTCTAGAACAATCCACGTGTCTTGCACAAAAAAATCGGGGAAGAAAAAATAAATAATATAATAAAAATATATTATTTAATTAATAAAATAATATAATTTAAAATATTATTTTACCAAAAATATATATCAACTGGGCCAAGGCCAGGCTCGTGCTGAGCTGATCAGACGGACGGCGACGCGTGCATGTGGGTTTTAGCTGAACCGACTAGCATGTAGGTCCTCTCCCCTCCAAAACTAGTGGTACCCCTTGGAGCCCAAATCCAAGTCCTTAACTTGAATTATAAAGTGATTTTTATTCTTCTAGTTTTCCTATGTGGGATTGACACTTTCCAATTTCCCATCAATTTTTATTCCCAATTTATTTCAAATTCAAGTGATCATTTTTTGGCTTTAATTTCTCATTCACCGTTAATTAATTTTGAGAAATAAATACATATATCAATTCTACTCATGGAGTAGAATGCACTCGGCCAAATAAATTATTTATCCAACTAACGGGACCCACTTAAATAATTGGTCAAAAGTTGGTCAATCCAACTAATTAATCCAAATTTCCAACAAAGCTTATGTATGAAATGTTAACTCAAGTTTAAAAGCAATTGATAACATTCCATTTTTTGGGTTCGTTGTTGTATTTTCCCTTCATATTAAAAACAGTGTACAATTGATATTTTGAAACACTGAAGCAGCCAAAGTTCCCTACTTTATTCACCATATGTCAAAAGTTTTTGTTCACACATCTCCCTAGTGCAGTATTAGTGCAAATATGTGAACTTAGCATACCAAATAAATTTGACCACCACAGACTTTAAATCTGGTTTTCATGTTTGGACCCTGCTTGAATAGACTGGGCGACAAGAAAACCTCTTAAAGAAAACAGACATTGCACCTGATGATAAACAGGAGCTTGATGAGGCTCTACAGAGGGAGGTAATTATTGGGTGCTTCATTGGTTATTTCTGCTACTTTAGATTATACACCTGGATGGATAAATATTATCTTTTAATCTTATGCCCCTGATATTCTTATCAGTTAATCTATCCCTCTTTTGCATCTTCAGTCGCTTTTACATGAAAATTTAGATTCCATCAATGTAACCCGTGCCTTTGTACAGTGAGAATTTCTCAATGTACACATTCTTATTATCATATCAAATTTCACTTCAAGTTATTGAAAATGATGTGGTAAAGGATTATCTGCATTTTTATGCCAGTTGTAAATCATAAAAGGACAATATGTCCTTCGAGATCTGATTGGAATTTGGAAGTAATGTTCCTTCTATTATGCAAATCAATTTTGAAGTAGTTTCTGCTTTCTACTGGAATGAGTGCATAACTATGTTGCAATTTCAGGTTTTTTAGTTACAAGTTAGGTTCATCATTCTATATTTATATGAGAGGTCTTTCCACAATTTATGGCTTTCACTCCTAGGAAAATTGTCTTAAATATTACAGGTCCAGTACAAATGATCCATGCTCTTTTTTATTTTCTTTCTTCAAATCTATATATTTACACTTCTATGGAATAGACTAAAGTAGTTGTCAGATCAAATTTACTTAACTCAACAGCACGCCTATGTAGGCAAATGCCACCCATTTACATGACTTCATCATTTCAAGGTAGATTAAAAGTTGTTCTGTGAAACAGGTATATTATCTTCGATTAAGATTTTCTTCATTATTCTCTCTGGAGAGCTGTATTTATCATGCTAACGTTTTCTTTTTGAATGACTAACATTTTACGTGTATATTGAATTGCTTGAATCTGAGATTAGATGTTTGGAAGATTCTCCAGGAAATAGCTTGCTTATACCGTTGATTTTGATTTATCTCCTATATGATTGCAAATTCAAGCTGCCTTCCGAACTGATGAGATACGAAGGACTCCTCCTACCCCACAAGATGAAATGAGAGCTCGAATGAGCTACTTCCATGAGACAATTTGGAATGGCGTGCCAAAGTTTCTGTGACGTGTTGATACGGCACTTAGAATATCGGGATTAACGAACGTGTTCCATACAATGCCCTTCTAATTCAGTTTTCTTCTTGGATGGGTGGAGATCATGATGGTATATTCTTTTTTGCCCAAGACAAATACCATCTATTATGTAGTGTCACAAATTAGTTAGAATATAGGCAACAGGACATATCATGTTGAAAGATTTAATGCAAGTTTAAATATATATTTATCATTTTCATATATTGTTGCAAACTTGCAGTCGTCTTTTAGTTGTTCTGTATTTATGAGTTTCAAATAATAAGACGGAATACATTTTACTGTAATTTTAAAGAGATTTTGCATAACCTTCTCTTGTTTTTTAATGCTTAACATCTGTGTAAATTGAAATGCAGGCAATCCAAAATTAGCTAAATTGATTCCAGGCATATTCTAGGCCATTGAATAACATAACATTTAAGAGAAGTCGGCTCAACCACCATCGACCCATCGGTTCCACCTCGATCCCAATGCCAAACCACCGCCATCCCGTCAGCCTCCACACTATGACTGTTGGAGAAGTCGTGTCTACAAACATACATGTGTGCGTGTGTGTAAGAAGAAGGGATTAGCTTAGAGTTTGGTTTTTTAGGCATATTCTAGGCCACCGAATAACATACCATTTAAGAGAAGCCGGCTCGACTTCCAGCAACCAACATCATCATCCGCTCGCTTGACCATCATCGACTCGTCGATTCCACCTCCACCCCAACTCCAAACCACCACCATCCCATCGGCATCCACACTATGACCGCAACGAAGTCTTGTGTCTACTTACATACAAGTGTGCGTGTGTGTAAGGAGAAGGGATTAGCTTAGGATTTTTATTTATTTATTTATTTATTTATTTTTTTAGGATTTGGTTTGGTTTGGTGTGGAGTGATGAAAGCACGTATGAAGCGAGGGATAGCAAAAGCCACTTTTAGGAATATTAGTGAAACATGTTAATGAACAGTACAAACCAGATGAGTGTGAAAACGAGGGTTACAAAAATGAATAATAATCCTAGATTGCCTCTCTTAAGAGAACGTAGATTTAAGGAAATTGTTCGTAATTATAGGGTATATATGATTTTTTTTCCTTTAAAAATTCTCACAGAAAGTCAACGAATTTAACTATATCTTCCAATTTCCTAATTATATGGATTTTGATGAAAATTCTCCTTTTCTCTCACTTCTGTAACCTAAAATAGTGTTTTTGTGAAAAGTCAGTAATTTGGATCTTTTTTCGTAGATTAGTTAATTAGATATGAAGTAATAAAGTGTGTCTAGTATTTTTAGAATTAGTATCCATTTCAATTTTGAAAATTAATATTGGCCCAATCTTAATGTGGATTGAACCTTACCAATATAAATTTGTATACGTACTTCATGCTCAAAGTTTATCAAGTGAATTATTGAAGTTCGTTTAAAGCACTCATCAGGCTTTACTAATATTTGATATCTTATGGTTAATATTATGTACCTTTAAAAATATTGTTCATGGTTATTCGTGTAGAAAAAAAAATCAGTAATATTATACTCATATAAAAACATGAGCCCATATGCTCGATATCATAATCATTCAAACACATGTGCTCATATGTCTGTTTGAATTGATGATCGATTGAAACCTTGAAGATAATTACATAATTAGTTATTTTTTCTTTCGCTAAATTGGTAAATTGTCATGCAAATTGAAGCATTTGTTCTTTCTATTTTCTCTCTCTTTATTTTTGTTCTACTTGATGACATACATTGAATGGTGAGCATACACTTTTTCATTTTAGCAAAGTTTTTATTTTTGTTTATACCTTTTGTGAAGAGTTTCACGAGAAAGTTATCTTAAATTAACTTTCTTTAAAAAAATTTAATCGGATAAAATATTTTAAAAAATTATTTAAATACGTTCAAAAATAACTTCATAATTTGATATATAAGCTTTTAACTTTTTGAAAATCTTACGAAACATGCTCATAGTATTTAAATAATAGTTGCAAGTGGATGCATCCTTTCTGCATGTACAGTGAAATTCTTTTCTTTTGTTCTACGATTGGGCCTAGGAGTTCGCAAACTTTATCACAGACCCTTGCAACTTGACCAAGTGGGCTTTAAACAAACACTTTGCAGCCATAATCCATTATCTTATCTATTTTTTTAATTTTGAAATTAATATATAAAGCATAGATTAATTAAAAAGTTTTCCTCAAATATCCAATCAGAATCAAGAAAAAGCTGTATTGACAAATCATTTGCCACCTCTTATTAGAATGTTGTCAATGTCGCACAGCCCCATTCAAAATTTAACTATATTATAATCCTGTCACACTATTTGTATAGGATAGGATATTTTTCCAAATGAATTTTATATCCTTTCGATACCATCCAAAATATTATCTTTTCCTAAGCCAAATTTCACCATTGAAACAGAGCTCGTGCACAAAACCCTAATCCTGTCTTACTGTCTAATCTCTCCGCTTTTGTGAAATTAATTTGAACCCATTTCAATTCAAAACCAGGAAACGAAACTAACTTAATAAAAAATTGTCTTGTTTCGGATTTGATGTTTTCTTGATTCTCCATTGTTGGCAAAATTAGGGATGACCTTGTTCTTGATTCCACGGTACGTTATACCTCCCTTTTGTTTATATCTTCTATTTTAATTCATTTTTAGCTGAATATTTATCGAAAATATAAAATCCACGCTTGATAAGTGATACTCAGATATTTTAACAGTTGTTTTTAAGTTTTGAATCTGAAGCATGCTTTCAATCTTGTGCATTTTACTTGAACTCTCCTTTTTTGGATTCAATTTTGTCGGCATGCTTACATTTTTTTTGGGGCTAATGTATGTTGGATAGTATTGACTGCAAGCATTCGTCGTGTCAATCTCCTTGTTCAAAAGCGAGCCTTCTTGATTGTAAAGATAAAAGATAATAGCAAATTAACGTTGAAATGCAACTAAGTTATGCTGAGTTTGATAGGTTTATTCTAACTCTAATTAGATCGCTGTGGATATAGGGTAAAGCAAAGAACTACTTTGGAGTGTCTCACTTGCTGAACCAACTTATAAAATGAAGATTAATTGAATAAGTGGTGCTATTCTTTGAAGAATTTTCCATAGGAAATTAGGGAATAAAAGGAAATGCTCAAAAGGGATTCTTTTTATTGGTTACCATATTTCTGATTTTTTTGCTACGCCTTTTCCATGTTGGCATTCATCACTGGTCATAAATATTTGAAGAAAGAGTGAAATGTTACTAGTAATTTAGAGTATTTCCAGTGAGATTCATAAAAGAAACAGTCTCCTCTGTGTAGTGACTTGTCAGGGTTAATTATACTAATTTTTAATGAAATTTTGAGTAATTATGCTCACTATAGTTATTTTATTACAGTAATAGTAATTCAAGTTTCTAAATGTTGCACTAATAGTTATTCAGTCAAAAAATTAACAATAAATCCTATGTGGCACCATTAAGTTCCAACGTGCCACCAAACTTCATTAACTATTATGCCAAGTCAGCAAAATTGGAGAATTATGAATTGAGGATTGTAAACATTCTGATAAAAATGTAATGTGTCTTTAATTTTGATCGAATTTTTGGACTTAAATCGTATAGTAAACTCATATTTTGTTTTTTAACTACTATTTTTGCTGATTTGACATAATAAATAAAGTCGTATGGTGACGTTGGCACTTAATAGTGCCACTTAGGATTTTATGTCAAATTTTTGACCGAGTGACCATTAATGTAACAATTAGATACTTGGTGACTTACCGTAAGAAAATAAGTTCAGTAAGCATTTGCGTATTTATGAAACTTCAGTAACCATTGGCATTATTAACCAGACTTGTCACTATGGAAAATGAAGAGAGTAAATCTGAGCAGTTGATTGCTTGGAACTAAAACAAGATGCTATCTAGACTTTTAAATTTATTGGTTATATGCTATTCTCGATTTTGCATATATTCTTCCTTCTTGTATTTTTGCACTGTCATTCATATGCCACTTCAACTTGAACCGATAGATGTATATGCTGTGCAAGATTTATTGATTATCACTGCAAATGCATCTCTCCGCTCCATGTTCATTCTAGGTTCTTGCTACTTTAGCTTGATGGGATTTGTGAAATATCATTTTTCTAATTGAAGCGAAGTTTCATTTAACCATTCTTAAGTATATTCTTTCCAGACTTAGCTAAATTGAAGGAGGTTGCTTAGAATTGCATGAAGCATGCCATTGATGAGCTCCTTTTTGACATATGGATGAACGTATAGAGGGAAACTCCTATCAATTTGGTGATCGGCATACTAGTAATGTTGTAATATATCTGAGAAAAAATAAAGGAAGAACAGAAGTCTTCTATACACATTCTTTCATTCTCAAAAGCAACAGCAAATATTTTGCAGATAGACTTTCCGATCGAAGCTCTTGCTCTTATATAGACATTGAGTGCACAGAATTTGATTACGATCTCCATGTTGAACTTCTAAGGCGTCTGTATCTTCCAGCAGACTCACTGTTGGATTCCTGGGACTCAGTTCGATCTGCTCTTGGTATTCTTCAGGTGGCTATCTCTTTACACTGTGAAGGAATAGTAGACAGCTGTATTCAATACCTGGAGGCTGTTCCTTGGGAAGACAGTGAAGAGGACGAGATCTTGAAAGTAGTTTCACAACTGGGTCCAATAGCAATGCCCATATTGGCTAGGATCCAACCAGTCGATTCAAGTGCTACAAAAGACGTTTACATCTCCGCTATACGTTTTGCCACTTCCATTGATGATCTGTGCCCGCCATTTGGAGATGATCTTAGAACTTCAGCCCAAGAACAAGTTGAGTACATGCTTGGCGATGATGACGACATGCCATTTGTTATAGCTGATGACGAAGTAAAATTGGAGACTAGAATTAGTTTGTCCAAGATTTTTTCTTCATTTGAAACGGAACTATCCTTCCTATTGGAATCTGATGTAACAGTCGAGCTAGCAGAGAACAAAATAATGCGTAGATTATCCGATCTTGAATGGATGTGCAATATTCTGCCCAAGATGGATCTAATGAAGGATTTTGTTGCCAAGTGGGTGGATATCTCTAATAACTTATTAGCCATTCTTGAAGACCAGAAACTTGATTCTGGCATGTGGTGTTTAAAACTAAAGCTGATAGAAGTGACAGCGAAAGTATTGGATGCAGTGGGATATGGAAATGTAATTCTTCCCGCTCCATCACGAGTGCTACTGCTAAAATCATGGCTTCCTTACATAAGGAAACTGAAGCCCATTCTCGATTCAATGAGCAACAAGGATATTGCATTTGCTTACAAGATGGATGAAGACCTTTGCCAGAGTATTGAAGGAGCAATAGTGTCGTTAATTTCAGCACTGCCATCAAATGACCAAGCGGACATTCTTGCCGACTGGATGGGCACTGAACAGCTAAGATATCCTGACCTAAGTGAGGCCTTCGAGGTATGGTGTTACAGAACAAAGTCTGCTAAGAGAAGATTAGAGGAGGGTTTGGACACTCGATAATGCTGCCGTCAGCCACTGATGGATGACTCCTAGTTTTTGTTGTGTGACTGATTGTTGATGCGCTGTTGCAAACTTCCAATTTTGCTGCTGTATTATCTTACATTAGCATGATTTATTTCCTAGCAGTTTCCGAACTTTCCCGTTAGTTTTTTGGTCTAAACTAAAGATTGCATAGGAACAATTGACTTCTGTAATAATTCTCGCGTCACACAATGCAAGAGCTCCTTGTCAATTAGCTCAATCAATTGTATAAACAGTACGGGCGGACAACATATGGTACAAAAATACATGGAGATGGCAAACACAGGAGTCTGAATATGTTGTCCTACGTCTCTCTATTCTCATAAAATTTTGACACTTCAAGGGGACAAGGAGATGTGAACAACACATTTGGACTTGAAATGCAACTCCACGAGAATTTATTTATCGTTGTTGCAAGGGTATGGAACGAAGTTTTGTTAGGTGAGGTACTTTCTTGATTTCGTAAAATAGAAAAGAATGTTGAAGATTCTATAGATTAATTGAATTAGATAAATATCTCATCAACCCAACAACATAAGTTGCATAACCTTCTAATTTAGAAGGTCCAAGTGTTAAATGGCAATATGAGGCCCAAAGGAAAAGTACAAAATAAATAAATAAATAAAAATAATAAATAAATAAAATGAAGGTTAAAAAGCAAAATCTGTCGAAGTTGGGGAATCTTGCAAATTACCCAATGAAAAATCTTGTTACGCAATTCGCACGTAGAATACAATAGGTACGAAAATAATTTCGCTTGTCAATCAAAGTCCATTTTACCCCGCTCATTTCTTAGTAGAATAAATAAGAGGGAATCTCGAGTTAATTGTTCCAATGGTCACTGAACTTTGATCCATATCTTTGATTGGTCATTGAAGTTTAAAATGTCGAGTTTTGATTACTGAACTTAAGTTAATGTCTTCGATTGCTAACTGAAGTTTTAAATGTCGAATTTTGGCTACTGAACTTTGGAATATATCGTACGTTACTCACTAGCATAATTGTTGAATTTTAAAAAATATCGAGTTTATAATAAGTAATGTACAACATTTTTTAAAATTCAGTGAGTAATGTACAATATTTTTCAAAAAGTTCAGTGAGTAATGTACAATATTTTTCAAAAAGTTCAGTGAGTAATGTATAAAATTTTTAAAATTCAGTAGTCAAAACTCAACATTTTAAATTTCAATGAGCAATCGAAGATATGAATCTAAATTCAATGATCAAAACTTGACATTTTAAATTTCAGTGACTAATCAAAAATATGAACCTAAGTTTAGTGACCATTAGAACAATTAACTAGGAATCTCCGAGTAATTACTACCTGAAATAAAATGTGATTGAAAAATGGGGGATTTGTTTAAAAAGCCTAGTCAATAATAATGTTTGGTAAAATAGCCTATGGTCAATACTTTTTGGTTAACTAGCATTTAGTCTCTTTTATCATGTGTTAAAAATCTTCAACACCCTTCATTTGAAATATCTAAAATATCCAATCTGAAACAAAAATTTATCAAATCCCTCAAACTTAAATACCCATTTTTAACTTTTCGTACACAATTTAAAACCAACAGGGAAATGGTATACTGCCTTTTAAACGATTGAATGTCGTTTTAACTAATTTTATGTTTGTATCACTTTATATTTCTTTGTATCCACATAAAAATTAATTAAAACAAGTTTTAACTATATTTCGAGTGATATTGAATGTCCGTGATCCAAAACGACATACTGTCATTATAAACCATTTGATGACGTTTTAACTAAAGTAAACAATTTTTCACTAATTTATAGTAAAATCGAGACCCCATAATCCAAAATGACATGCTGCCGTTTTAAATAATTGGGTGTCGTTTCAACTAATTTCGTATCTGCTTCACTTTATTTTCATTACATTTAGACCCGAGTAACGATATAAAGTTCACAGGATAATGATCAATACTATTGTTCTGTGAATAAACTGAATTAGATATAACTACGAATGTAAGTTAATTCCGATTAAATCCTAATTATGAGATAAGATATTCAATAAATTGCCTCGTCTAACTTGTACTAGTCTTTTAAGATGTTCCAAGTCTGATCGACTCGTTTTGTAGTGATATCAAGGCCCCGTCATCTAGAATAACATGATGTCTTTAAAAGACTAAATAATTTAAATTCCAATTATGAGATAAAATACTCCACAAATTAGTTCTTTAAATTGTGTAAGTCTTATATGATGTTCTAAGACATGATCGATTCATTTTGGAGTAAAATCGAGACCCTATAATCCAAAATGTCATGATGCTGTTTTAAATAATTAGGTGTCGTTTCTACTAATTTCGTATCCGCTTCACTCTATTTTCATTTATATGCACATAAAAATGAACAAATGGAAGTTTTCATTATATTTGTCCCAAGTATCAGCATAAAGTTCATGCGATAATAACCAACACTATTGTTCCATGAGTAAATCGTATTATATTCTATTGTTCCATAAAGTTGGCTCGTTTAACTTGTATAAATCGTCTAAAATGTTCCAAATATTATCAACTCGTTTTAGAGTGAAATTAAGGCCCGTGACCCAAAACAACATGATATCAATGAAAAGATTAGGTGTCGTTTCAATTATTTTTGTATTCATTTCACTTTATGTTCACTCGTATCCATATAAAATGAATGAATGCAATTTTTTACTATATTTGGATATCGAGAATTCGTAATCTAAAATGCTATCGTTTTAAATGATTGGGTGTTGTGTCAACTAATTTGATATCCATTTCACTTTATTTTCACTCGTATGCACATGACAATGAGCAAATGAAAGTTTTCATTACATTTGGACCTGAGTATCGATATAACGTTCACGCAATAGTGACCAACAATATTCTTTCATAAGAAAATTACACTAGACTTCACTGCGAACGAAGATAACGAACTCCAATTCTGTTATATTTTATTATGAATTAAAATACTTAATAAATTAGTTTGTTTAGCTTTGAAAAGTCTTTCTTTTAGATTATTCACGTCCATAATCACTTCAAAGTTTAAGGATAAAAGTTTCAACTACATTTCAACGTTACCGTCAACACATCAATTCAAACTATAGCAAGTCACTCTATAATTCAATTGGAAACTACACTATATGATGCTTGACAATAAAGAAAAACGTAAGTAACAAGTGTAGTATGCAACACATAGCACGTGCAATCGTTCGATGTGTACAAGTCATGTATGATATTTCAAATATTGTGTTACTAGTTTTGGAGTGAAATCGATACCTCGTGACTCAAAAAGACATCTGGTCATTTTAAACATATAAGCGGCGTCTCTACTCATTTCGTGTTCATTTTGGTTTATTCATGCTCGTAACCACTTGAAAGTTTAGGGATGAAAGTTTTAACTACATTTTGTTGACACATTGGTTCAAACTATAGCGAGTCACTCTATAATCGATTAGAAACTATACTACACTACACTTAACAATAAAGAAAAACGTAAGTCGCAAGTATGATATGCAAAACATAGCATGTGCAGCCATTCAATGTGTACAAGACATGTATAATGTCTCAAACACTATTTTACTAGTTTCGAAGTGAAATCGATATCTCGTGACCCAAAATGGCATCTAATCGTTTTAAACGTATGGTTATCGTTTAAGGTTTAGGGTTTCGGGCTTAAGGTTTAGAATATATGGTTTAAATGTGTGGTTGACGATTAATTTTTCAACATTTATAGTCTTGGATGATATTCCAAACATTGTTTTACTAATTTTTGAGTGAAATTGGGACTCTTTGACTCAAAATGGTATATTATCATTTTACTTGTAGGGATGCCATTTAGGTATAGGGTATAAAAAATATCAAACGTGTAATCATTCAACATATAAAAGTGAAATTCGGACCATACTACCTAGAACACATGTGATCATTTTACAAGTATGAATGCAGTTTAGGGTATACAAATTATAGCACGTTTCAAACTAAAATCAACCCGTCACCTAAAATGGCACGTGAACATTTTAGTCGTATGACTACCATTTTTTCTAATTCAGTGTTCATTTCACATCATTTTTGCTCATTCAACCCGAACAAGTTATTTATGACGCAAAATGGCATGATATTGTTTTAGATGGTTGTGTCTTTTCAAATATTTTTATATTCGTTTAACTTTATATTTACTCGTATTTATATAAAATGCACGAATGCATATTTTTACTACATTTGAATACCAAGGTTGATACAAAAATTTACATGATTACGAATCAACGACAAAGTAGTTGTAAAAAAAGTTGAATTCTATCAACATGAGAGGGAAAAAAGACTCGTAAAGTTGAATTCCATCAACTTGAAATTGTGATGGTTTTGACAAATTGTTATGTATGGATATGCGCTTTTGATGGATATATTGATGTAATTATTGAACTTAATATTTAAATTGTGTTGTTTTCTGATAAATTTTGATAGTTCTATTTGTTCAGACCTTTAATGACATCTTGTCGTTTTAAACGTATGGGTGTTGTTTCAAGGTTAGGTTTTAGAGTATAAATAAATAGCACGTACAATCATTTAACATGTACAAAATATCTAGGATGTTCCAAACATTATTTTTACTAATTTTGAAGTGAAATCGAGAAGATGTGACCCAAAACGGCATGTAGTCATTTTAAACGTTGTGTATCATTTTTACTAATTTCATGTTCATTTTGCTTCATTCTCGTTCGTATCCACATGAAAGTGTAAGAATGAAATTTTTAACTAGATTTAGATGTCTCAGTCCACACAAAGTTCAAACTATGGTAAGTCACGTCATATATTCGATTGGAAACTAGAATAAGTTTGACTACAAAGAAAAATGTAACAAGTAAGATATATAAAACATAGCATGTGCAATCATTCAACTTGCACATCTTATCTATGATGTTCGAAGCATTTACTAGTTTTGAAATAAAATCGAGAGCATGTGACCCAAAATGGCATGTCGTCATTTTAACCGTATTGTATCATTTTTGCAAATTTTATGTTCATTTCACTTCATTTTCACTCGTATCCACGTGAAACTGTAAGAATGAAAGTTTTAACTAGATTTGGATATCAAGAACCCGATTGACTAGTTTTGAAGTGAAACCGAGACTTGTGACCCAAATTAACATGTTGTCTTTTCAAAAGGCTACGCATCGTTTTCAACTAATTTTATGTTCCTTTCACTTTATGTTCACTCATATCTACATAAAAATCAACAAATCCCAATTTTC